TGTTCTCACAGGCCAGTCTGCCCTCGGGGTTCCAGCCCCACACCTGGAGCCGTTAACACTCCGAGGGCAGGCTGCTGTTTGCCTCCTGCCTGCTAGGCTGAGGGCAGAGACTGGCCAGTGCTAGATGCCCAAGGTCTGTGGTTGAAATGTCAACTTTGTGAACAGAACTGACATGTAGGCCTCCTGCGTGTGAGTTCCTCAGGAGCAATGGAGACTCGAGTCCCAGGGCCCAACCCCGTGCTGGTATCATTAGGTGCTCGGATACCTGGTGACTAAGTGCAGCATGTACGAAGGGTGGTGCTACCTGGGCCCAGAAAGATGATCTTTTTCCTACATAAAAACTACACAGACTGAGACAAACCAGAATGCCAACTTACTGTGAGAAAGCAAGCTGTTACAGGGACTTGGATGTTCACGTTTGTGATTAGCTATAGAAATTCTGTATGGGAGACCAAATTGTAATCAGAAGTGTGCTTGATGCCAAAGGCTGGTGGAAGTCCTGCTGATGCCTGGTTGAGAAGCTGCAGTGGTCTCACGAGACCTGTGTCCCAAATAGGATACTCGTTAGGCCACCGTCTCTTGCCCTCTGCTAGATGAGTCTTGCCAATTTTAGATATTTTGGGGACACCGGCCCTGACTGAAAGCCATTCCCCTCTTCTGTCTGTATTCCTCCCATTGGTTAAGCTAGATGTCTGCTCCCACCTGGTTTCCACTGGTCACACAACATGAGGCTGCCTCCACTTTGCCCCGTCTGTGACTCGATGGCGTAGTAAAGTTTTAACATTAGCGTGTGTGTGGGGGGAGGCTGTGGGTTAGTTTGGAAACATAGTTCTCCTGTGAGGACTTCTCAATCATTTTGTCTAAAGGACTTAGGTGAGGAACAGAAACTGTAGGGATAAAACACAGGCTATCACCCAGTACGGTCTAGCCTCATTTTTCAAATAAGAGGGAGCTGTACATGAAAGTAAAACAGCAGTTAAGCACTCAAATTTTGGCTAGGGTTACTATGTGCCTGGGTGCTCTTTTAAGTGCCTGACATAAGTCATTTGGTTCCTAGTATATTCTTATGAAGTAGGTGCCGTAACTATCTCCTTTTCACACATAAGGAAACAGCAGCACAGAGCACTTAAGTGCCCAGTGCATGACCACTATGCTGACGCCTGCTATGATCAGTCCAGAGGCTGCACCAGCTCAGATAAAGTTGATCCCTAAGTCACAGATTTTTAAAAACATGCATAAATGGCTTTGCTATCTATGTAAAATGTAAGTAGTAAGAACTCTGGTTACAGTGATATACCAAACCATTATAAGGTCATTCACTGACTAGGGTACTAACTCTTGGCGGGTTTCTGTGAAGGAACAAGGGGAGAAAGGAGAAAGATAAACTCTCCCTGGCTACCCCGCAGGGTCTGACTTTGGGGAAGGTGCTGCTCCGGCCTAAGCCAAGGCTCTCTTTCCTAAGAAATTCTTCCAGAAAGAAAGGAGACGTTAACTAGATAAGGCCACTTCAGTTCCCAGATGAAAGCAGAAGTAGAAGCTGTGTTTCCATTCAGAGGCAACAAGGGCTTTGTTCTCATATAGTGTTGAGGCCACTGTTACCAAGACTGTTTTCCTATGACCTTGTCTAATATGCATTGCTTTCTCTCGTGAAGTGGCAAAATTGAAAAGAGGAGGAGCTAGCCAACAGAGATAAGCTAAGGATACTGAAGGCACAAAATTTGGGGGGTTGGAAGAGTCCAGCAGTGCAAAGGAAAAGATAAACTTTTACTAACTCATAATTTTACTTGTGGCTGATCCTACCTGCTTTTCCTTTCAATTCAGAGGCCAACACAGTTGTTACTGAGCACTTCAGGACTCAATAGTAAGGGTAGGGAGTTAACTTCAACAGACATTTGTCTAGTCAATTAATATTTGGGAGTCTGGGAAGAGGTATACAGTGGCTGAGGCCACAAATTATAAGGGGAAGATAACCACATGCTGAAGTGAGGCCAAAACACGGGAAAATCACACAGCTTGTACCAGCAGGTGTTACAGGGCTATAGGGTAACTGCACTTTATTTTGAATCTGGCAGTTATGATACTGCCTTTCTTTGAAGGAAAGGAAATGGCAGATGAGCTATTTGGTGTACACAGGGCTTTCTCACCATTCTTCTCTCTGCTCTGCAGCACCTGTCACCCAGCCTGGGGACCCTGGCAGGGAGTGCATCGATCAGCCAGAGCTGGCCAATTGTGGTTTGATCCTGCAGGCCCAGCTCTGTGGCAATGAGTATTATTCCAGTTTCTGCTGTGCCAGCTGTTCCCGATTCCAACCTCATGCTCAGCCCATCTGGCAGCAAGGATGAAGGCTCACTCCAACTCCAGTTCCAAGACCATTCTTACGGCTCAGAAGAAGGGAAGATGGACTTGCAGCCCCCTCTCTCTGGCTGGCAGTTGTCTTCTGGAGATACCAGCCTCTTTGAAAACCAGCCAGTGTTTAGCCTCTGCAGTAGCCAGTGCCAGCCTCTGTAGTCCTCTGCAATATCTGCAACTCTGACATACATAGGCTGCTGCTGAGTTGCCAAGAGAAATCTGTTTGGGTAAGAACCACCCTTCCTTTATAGCTTCCCTTTATAAGGTGTTGCACAGGTTCAGTCTACTACATTTTATTTTTAAATTCTTCTTTAGAGACAAGATCTCGTTCTGTCACCTAGGCTGGTGTGCAGTGACACAATCATAGTTCACTGCAGCCGTAAACTCCTGGGTTCAGGCTATCCTCCTGCCTTAGCCTCCTGAGTAGCTGGGAATACTATGTTGCCCAGGCTGGGCTTGAATTCCTGGCCTCAAGAAATCCTCCCACCTCGGCCTCTCAAAGCACCAAGATTACAGGCATGAGGCACCATAAAACAAAGTGTCAGGGCTCTCACTTGATTTAAAACTAGGCAGGGAGATGTGTAATGATGTTAAAGTTAATACCTGTCTTATAAAGGGAATGCCAACTCCTGTTGTGTCAGAAATATTCTTTACTAGAACTGAGAACTAAGTCTCATCTGGGTCAGACAGATCCTTGCTCTAGTTTCCCTTACCTTTCTAGGTAGTGCAGCAAGCAGTCAGCTTTAAATCCTGTCTATACACAAGGTTAACAGCATAACCCCCACTGGCAAAGAGGGATATAACCTAAAGGCCTCTAATAGGGACTTGGGATGAAAGCTACAGTTAGCACTGTTGAGTATGAAAGAAAGAGCTGGAAAAGCTCATAAGGAAGTTGAATCCTGAAGCCCTCCTGATGCCAACTTGCAAAGCTGGCTTTGAAGGTGTTCACCTGACACCTGTATAAAACTAACCTGGTCTATACAGTGACAATGAGGAGCCCCTCTCTTCGTTAAGTAGAACTCTGTGAAGCAAACTGCCACCAGAGAGAAACCAGACTATAAACACCCCTTACCAGGATGGGGATGCCAATGGGAAGGTGGGTGAGGGCACTGTAATAACAGGGAAGAGGCTTCAGAATGGTCTGAGTTAGAGGGTGTCACTTCCATCCCTCAGTGCCCCCCCCACTTCCATGCTAAAACGAGAGGCCTAAATTCAGTGCACTTCCAAGTCCCTTTCCATGAGACCTCCAGAGGACTGCTTGTATCAAAGGTTATTCTTGGACACAGGAAAGATAGGCATTACAGGGACAAAGCGCTGCAAGGTGACTGACTTACTACTCACACACTGGCTGGAAAGGAGAAGAGCTGCATCACGTAGCTCAGTGTACCTCGTATTCAGAAGAACATAGGTGGGGCACAGGTCTTTTTTTGTCTTTCCACTTAAAATATGGAGGAGCGTCCCCTTTCACTTACCCTGGCTGGTTTTGCTATAGAAATTGGAACAGGGCTCGGCGCCTGTGGCTCAAGTGGCTAAGGCACCAGCCACGTACACCCAAGGTGGCGGATGTGAATGCAGCCTGGGCCCGCCAAACAACAATGACAGCTGCAACCAAAAAATAGCCGGGTGTTGTGGCGGGTGTCTGTGGTCCCAGCTACTCGGGAGGCTGAGGCA